CAATGATTTCAAGCAGAGTATTGCCACGATGAGGAGCTGTCACCAACTTCAAGGAACACTATGTCAACTACTTTGAAGAGCATGATCATCAGGGAATGCCAAGCTAAGTATGGCAGTGAAGACAAGTATGGCCAGGGCGACGGAGAGCGTGATGGGGCAACCTCCACTCGTGTAAAATGAGAATGAATCTTCCGCTAGAGCATGGGAAGGTACATCCCGCCTTCCTCTTCACAACAAGACAACTGTCAAGCAGCTATTGGTAAATTTGCTCGACTCTCTCTCTCTCGACAACTCCTTGCCCTTCTTCTTTCTTCCACTCTAACCTGCCTCGATTCCCCTCTCTCTCTTTCAGTGTACTTGGCCCTTATCCCTACATAATTCATATGATCCTCAACAACATAGTCGAAAAAGTCGGAGGCAGCGGGCTCGGATCAGGCAGGGCGAGAAAATTCAGTTTCGAGGAAAGAGATGACCTATGCCCCTACACTTGTGGCCACAGGAAACCCAGTCGTGACCTCCAACTCGAAAACAACGAGCTTGAATAATAATTCGGTAAGCATCGTGGTGATGGGCTCAACAAAATTGATCGACATCGGTGGCGCAAAATCAGCTGGTACGTGCAATGAGGAAATAGATCACGATAGCTTTGGTCCTCGAAGAAGATAAGCAATACCACGTAGAGCTAGGAGGATGATAGTCACGAGTACTAATGAAATTATAACCGTTGGGCGATGACCAACAGGAGGGGTGTGCGTGCGCCCAGCAAGAGGAGACGCAAAAAAATTGATTCTCGCAACCTACCTGGTGCCAATTGTGCAATATGAGATTGAACCTTCCCTCTATTCGTGGGAAGGTGCACTACATCGAGGTAGAACTCCACCCCGTTGTTGCTCATCACGCTACTTCTACCAACCGGATGACCAGCACACCATTCGATAGGGAAGTTTCCGACCCCACCGCTGGTCGTCACGCTAGTTTTGTGTCTATTCAACGTGCAACGAAAAAGTTTCAACGCCGTTGTACCCGCTGAATAGCCCTCAGGGCCCCGTTGAATCCCCGTTGAATAGCCCTCGGGGCCCCGTTGAATCCCCGTTGAATAGTACCGGGCCCTCCCCGTTGAATACTGTTCAACGGGGAGGGCACATTGGGCCTCGGACACGTCGCTGGACGCGCGTGGAGCAAACAAAATTTTCATCCCGTTGAATCCCCGTTGAATCCCGTCGAATCCTATCAATTTTTTTTATTTATTTTTTTAACCTCTAAGTTCTAACCACAAAGTCCAGGGGTCTGGTCCCACCTACCGTTGTTGAGTTCAGAAACTCAACGGTGTGACGCCATTTCGACACTAATAAATTAGAAACAAAAAATTAAAAAAAAAAAAAAACGCTAGAAGCAGCTTTTCTCCTGATTTTTGATAACGTAACTCGGAGGAAAAAAAAAAAAAAAAAAAAAAAAAAGGACTCGGAGAAATGAAACATGTCTGGAACAGTCGGGGTGAATGTCTCCGTGAAAAAGGGATACTCCCCGTGGTGAGGGGACAGGAGGTCGCCATTTGTAAAATGGACAGGGACAATGCGGATGGCCAAATGCAACATGTCTGGAACAGTCGGAGTGAATGTCTCCGTGAAAAAGGGCTACTCCCCGTGGTGAGGGGACAGGAGGTCACCATTTGTAAAATGGACAGGGACAATGTGGATGGCCAAATGCATTCATTGCCCAACGAAGGAAAGGAGTTTAATGCCAAAGAGCCAAACACAGCTGTCAGAGTTCCTCCGTTTCAGTGCACCAAGCCTAGTGTTAAACCACCAGTACTTGGCCCATACATGGGCCGCAGGCCTTCCCCGTTAACGCACCGCAGTTTTCAGGGCTCGGGGAAGGCCCGGCAGTGCAATGGAGGACGACGTGCGTGGGCCCACAAAAACGGGGCAAATGGACTGTAAGATGTCCTGGTGCTGTGCTATGTGGAAACGTTCGGAGGCTGAAGGCGACGAGGGGGAAAAGAGAAGAAAAGGAACTCCAACACGAGAAGAGAAAAAAGAAACAGATCGTTGCTTTTCTTTCTTTTTTTTCTTTTTTTGGAAGAAAACTGGTTTTTCATGAGTGCCCGCCAGCCCTGTAAGGTTAGCACTTTTTAGAATGTATCCCGCTGTACTTGCAGGCACAGTGGATGAATCTGA